GTTTGAGGACATATGGATGGATTTCAAGAGTGTCATCTCACAAATAACTCAATTAGTGAATTGTTCATGTGAGCGTATGCAAAAGAACCATTCTTTAAACACAAGACACCAGGAGCATAGCCTACGTTCCATTCAGTTAAATAAAAACTTGGTACGTATTCAGTTAAATAAAAACTCAGCTGGAAAAAAGGCATAGGCCACACTGTTGGACTCTGGCTTCCAAACACCGAGAAGGAGTCGCCCCGAAGACCATCTCACACACCACAGCCAATGCAAAAGCATGAGGATTTTATTAATTCTGTCATGACAGGGTCCCCCAGCATTCGGGAAGCTGGGGGACCCCGAATAGCTGGTACAGTCTACTTTTAAAGGGGCCACAGAAGCAAGGGGGGTTGTTCTTTGACTATTCTGATTGGCTTATTTGAAAGGGCTATTACCAATAATTGACTGGAGAGCTGTTGCCAGATCAGATGAGGTAAGAGGTCATTTTGACCCCGTTTCCCAGGGGACCGAACCAAAACATACATATATGGGTAATTGTTCAGGAACTGAGTACATGCGAGTGTAGCTGTTAGGTCCTTGGTTCCCAGGGGAGGAGGGGAAGCACTATGGCACAGAGGCTGAGAGGATTCAGAATTATCAAAACTAGCTTTAGGATTGTCTTAAAGTCTTACAACACGAGCAACTGCTTTCAACACTGAAGAATAGTATTAGAATAGAACATTCTTTTCTCTCTCATTACTTAAACTGTGAACAACCTTCAGCCTCATTCTAATCGTCAAAAGAAATATTTTCCTCTGCAAAGGTACCATTGGCCATCATATCCAACAAAATTCATTCTGTTCATCAAAGGATTCTTCTCCTGGCAAAAGGCATGATTAAAGTCCGTTGTAGGAAGCCACTTGCTCATTTCCTAGCCACCCAAACTCCCAAAATAATCACACAAGAAACTAAATTAAATCACTGCTTGGCCGATTAGCCTTAGCTTCTTACTGGCTAGCTCTTACATATTAATTTAACCCATCTCTATTATTCTGTGTATCACCACGTGACTGTGGCTTACCAGCTAAAGTTGTGGCATCTGTCTTTGGCTGGGCAACATGGCTTCTCTCTGACTCTGCCTTCTTTCTCCCAGCATTCAGTTTAGTTTTTCCCACCTACCTAAGTTCTGCCCTATCAACAGGCCAAGGCAGTTTCTTTATTTACCAGTGCTATTCACAGCATACAGAGGGGAATCCCACATCACCCCCTCCCCTCTTTTCTGCTTAAATGAAAAGAAAGGTTTTAACTTTAACATAGTAAAACTACATATAACAAGACAGCCAAGAATTATAGTTACAGTATTAACATCTACTTTATATCTTATCATAACTAAGGAAAACATAGCTATAAATGCTTCAACTCCATCAAAGATTCCAGAAGGGTATAATATTACCTAAGAAAACAGGAAGTGCATTGTAGGCTACTTCCAGAACTCTAGAATTGACAGAGACTTCTTGCTACCTGGACATTATTCTCAATTTCTTCTGAATTTATTGGAAAGGTAAAAAGAGAAGGTGGAAGCCAAAAGAATGACTTTTGCATAACTCTCTCCTGTTCTATTATTTTCTGATGCATTGCTCTACAGCTAAGAAGGAACTAGAAAAACTAGTAAACATTGGAACTCTTTTTTTTTTTCATTTCTGCACAGTGATTTTTATTAAGAGCCTGGAAAAAGGAACACCCTACTTTCTTTTCTTAAAAGAAGGCTTTTTTGAAAATCATAATATAAATCAAAACCACAGTCTATTTTCCCTCTTCTTACCTTGGCATCTGTATAATGTCTATTGAGGCCTAACCCTGACATTTATGGTTGTAGATACAACGCAGATGGTAGGGAAGGAGACGGAGGGCAGAGAGCTGGCTCGTGTCTGCCCTGGGGAGGCAATTTGCTATATCTTTTTTTTTTATTTCATTATTATTATTTTTTTTTATTGAGAAAAGGAGAAAAAAAAAACAAGGAAGTCGGGACCACGAGGGATGCACCCACCCACTGAGACAGTGGAGCTGATCTATTGAGAGCTCACCAAGACCAGCTGGACTGTGACTGAAAAAGCATGGGATAAAACTGGACTCTCTGAACATGGCGAACTATGAGGGCTGATGAGACGCAAAGGACAATGGCACGGGGGTTTGATCCTGCGTAATGTGATGGCTTTGTGGGAGCCCAGCCAGTTTGGATGTTGACCTTCCTAGATATGGACGGAGGTGGGAGGTCCTGGGTCTTACCACAGGGCAGAAAACCCTGACTGCTCTTTGGACTGGAGAGGGAGGGGGAAAGGATTGGGGGGAGGGGGAGAAGGGTGGGAGGAGGGGGCGTAGGGGGGGAGGAGGGGGAGGGAAATGGGAGGCTGGGAGGAGGTGGAACTCTTTTATTTACGAACTAGATCATTCTAATTGAAGCCATATAAATCCTTTCTTTAGCAGGTGAAATCATTACCATGACGTCATTTCCCTTACCTGCGTCCTGGGTTTTGTTAGTAATCCTGCCATGCCGATAAGACATGCCAATGTGCATTTTTTTCCTTTGTGATGGAATGGTCACAACTCTCTTCTGTCCACTTTGTACTGATAGGAGCACTCACCCTGTCCACACACCCTCTCCATTTGTCCTACTCAGGGTTTCTCCTGCTGTGAAGAGACACCATAACCACAGCAACTTTTAGAAAGGAAGAAAAACATTTCATTGGAGCCGACTTTCAGTCTCAGAGGTTTAGTCCATTATTGCCATGGTGAGACTGCATGCAGGCAGACATGGTGCTGGAAAAGGAGTTGAGAGAAGGAGGATATGTCTCACTCACACTGGGCAGAACTTGAGCATATGAGACTTCAAAGCCTGTCCTCATAGTGACAGACTTCCTCCAACAAGGCTGCATCTACTCCAATCAGGCCATACCTCCTAATAGTGCCACTCTCTATGGGCCAAGTATTCAAACACAGGAGCCTACGGAGGCCATACCTATTCAAACCATCACACCATTCCTTACAGATTTCTTTTCACTTATCTTTTGTCAGCTCAAATTCAGAGTGAGAAATTTGTTTGCCCAGAGGATCATGAGCACAGGTGACCACTAAGACCTTCCATGCGTGTTTTTATTGTAAAGCGACATCCTTTCTGTGAATGACAGCTGACCCTTACCCTGTCCTTCTTCTTTGATTGCCTTTCACACTTGTGTTGGGGAATTGAACATCATTCTGAAGAAACCTGATTTCAGTATGGAAATTGGTCCTTGAGTGACTTGCTCTCAGCTCACAAGTTTTAAGAATTCTTCTTATACTCTGGTAGTATGGCCATTAATAATTTTGGCATATATTTTCTAGCATATCATGCACTTTAGAAATATGCATATGTCCTTCTCTTTTCTTTCATTTTTTTTCTTTTTGTTAGATGAGTTTGCCAGTCTTGTCTGAAGGTTGTCTCTCCTGCCTCACATATTTCCTCCCAACAATGTTTTCTGTATTGCACTCTACCAAGAACAAAAGGCAACACCACCCCCAATGTCTTCACATCGGGCTTGGGGCACTGTGTACAAACTGATGTTTTCTAACAAATGGCAGAACAATGGATGCACTTCCTGTCCTCTGGTATGATTTTACCCTCTACTGTTTCCTGTTTCCGTGTGAATAGTATGGCTCAGCTCAAGAGAGGAGACATTGTTTCTATTGCCGCCTTCTCTTACAGTAGGAATTTGATCACATACCAGTTCTCTCCATCTATATAGACACTACAAGTGCTAAAGGAGTTACCCTTTGTTGGGGATTTCGTTTCCTGTAATAACTATTCCAATGGAAAATATGTAACTCCCTTCATTATTATTTTATTACAGAGGTCATAAAATCACCTTGAAAAACAGCCAGGCGCTTGTTCACTGAATGGCACGAATTCAATGATTTTAAAATATCTCCTTAATTTATTAGTAACCTATAAGAAAATCCCATAATGAAAAGGCTAAGCAACTGATGACTTAAAGAAGTGGGGAGGTAATGAAGACTAAAGCCCAGGAAGCCAGCGAGTTGTTCTGTGTCTCTTTGCAATGGTGTTTGTACTGAAGAGAGGGTTACAGAAAAGCAAAGCCACATGGAAGGATCCCTTTCTTTAGTTCTCTCCTGGAGATAGGCAAGCCAGGCATGAACAGCTGAACACACAGAGCTGGGAAACTCACGTGAGCTTTACCTTGCAGTGAATCAAGGTCATAAAAGACATTAAGTAAATGTTCCCCCAATTCTGAAAACAGAGCCGAGTACTGGCTTATGACAGTAACCAAGAAAAAACTCGCAGCAGGTTGTGTGGTGAGAAACTCCGCACCCACTTGTGAAACCCGATAGCCTTATCACTGGACTGAGGGTGACTCCAAGAGAACAACAGTCACATTGTTCTTATGACGGGATCGTCATAGATTCTTCATGATCCGCATACTCCTAAAGCTGCTGGTCACTCCGCTTCACATCTCAGCACTCGGTGTCACTATTCCTTGCTTCTGACTTTCCACTTCAGGAAAATCGTAATAAACACTTGACAGGCCAGATCTCCTTACCTCTCTCTCTGCTTCTTAGTTCATTTCTTGCATTGTGATGCACACCTTTAATCCCAGCATTCAGGAGGCAGAGGCAGGGGGATGTCTGTGAGTTAGAGGCCAGCCTGGTCTATATAGTTCTAGGACAGCCAGGGCTACACAGTGAAATCCTATCTGAAACAAAATATAATAAGTACGCTCCTTTTCTATAGTCAAAGCTCTCCTTAGTCAAGGTAAAGGGACATTAAACAGTTGGCACTTTGCCTGTGGTCTGGAAGAGTTTGAAGATACATTTCCCTGGAAAGGCTTTATGCAGGTAAGAGTCAAATGTAATATGAGTCAAAAAGAACGTATAGAAAACTGCTTTACATTGATACATGTTTCAAAGCTAGATATAATTTATTTATAAATAGTATTTAGATACAGAAATCAATAATATTTCCCAGATCCCTTGTTTATTAGTACATACACGCCAGAGAAGAAAGGTAACGTATTTATGTTTCTGCCATTTGACAGTAAAGCAAGGTTGGGCAGAGTCGGCTGTCTTAGCAGAGACACAGGGTCAGGCCACCTGCAAACTACAGGCACGGGGTATGTTTCTTATTTGTGGGCACATATGAAAAATTTCTCCAAATACACTTATTCCCGTTGCCCATGCTATGAGACTGCCATAAATTCAGCCATATGATTTTAGGTTGACTTAAGTTCGTTCTTTAATTGCCATGAGTTCTGCTTTTTAAAAAAAATTGATGAATAAACAATATCTAAAATTTAACCCTCTCTTTTCTCCCTCGTGAATTCTCTCCCAGGATGAATTTGTTCCACCTGTGCATCACCCAATATAGTCTAATGTGGTGAAGGTAATTTTTTTTTCATTTATTGTTATCTGTAGTATCCCCGGCCGCACATAGTAGGGCAGATTTGAATTTCGGAGATGTGTCACTAGCAATATGTGGCTTTTAGAGTGAATGCCAGTGTAGACACCGATACTCTGTAGCCTGGAGGGTTTTAACCAAGGTTGACGTCTTCCTCTGTCCCCAGTAGCACCAACTCAGCAGTTTTCACGAAGCACAGTAAAGGAGGCTCTAAAAGACTCGAGAGAGACACCTGCTGTCCACACGGGAGCAGCAGGAGGTTCTCATGATGAATGGAGGTGGCTGGGTTGGCACACGTGCACACACGTCTCTCCAAATGCCTTCAGCCCGCAGCCATGTTACTCTCCTCATTCCATTCGCACGCCTCGGAGAATTAAAAAGAAAAAAACAAAGTTTCCCGTGTCTTCCCAGTTTTTATTCCCAGCCTTATAATTTTGAGAATGTTAAAAGAAAAAAGTCACGCTGATTCTTTTCGTGGGAGAGGGAAATCTATCAGTAAGGGACTAGCGAAGATGCAGAGCTGGGTGATAGCATAGCCAGCACTGGGCTCAGCCTGGCCAAGGAGACTGCCCTCTCCAGCTTCAAGGGTCGGTAAGTCCAGGATGGGGAGCAGCTAGAAGCTCAGAGTGTGTGCTGTTCCCTTTAGACTGCCAAAGAAAACTCATGTGTGCAGGTTCTGCCATCTCTTTTAATCTCGAGTTAAGAAGAAATATCCGTACTGTCCCCACCAGATCTCTGCACAGAAGGTAAATGCCAACAAACAGCTCAGAGAACAGAGAAAAGACTGAGGTCTCACACGGCATAAACACAGTCCTTCCTGGGAGAAATATAAACGTAAGCTCTAGTACAGGGCTGGGGCTGGATTCTGCTCTGCGCAGTTTGACCTTGAACCTGAACTCTCAGAAGGAAAGTCACCAAGTGTCTGTTTGAACAGGGCTAAAGCTCCAGTCCCTCATCTTTCTAGTGTGTCTTTTAATATTTATGAAGAACACAGAACCACCCTCAGTGACTCAGAAGGGCAATAAAGACCGCTGGTTGAATTCATGGGAAAAAAATGCATAAATAAACAAGACATAGAATCCTTTTTTTTTTTTTTAAGAAATAGGAAAATAGGTTGTGTAACAAAATGACGTCTGCAGTGTGAGAGCCACATCTGGCTCAGCTGCTCCCAGAGTCTCCCCACAGATATGAAGAGTCCCTAATGCAGGTTTGCAAACCACAGCTCATCACAAAGACTAGCATGAACTCATCCTACTGATGGGCATCCATGACACTTTGGCTTGCTTCTAGGCAACATCTGGTGGCACGTCCTACACTACCAGAAAAGGCAGAAACCAAGATGACAAGAGCCAGACCCAGCACCTATTACTTCTTCTCGTGCTTCTTGATCAGCTCGCACCCTCCCAGCCGGCCCCTGGCCCGGCTGTCACCGGGTCTGCCTTCCCTCCGCAGGCTCTCCTGGGAGACTTGCTGCATGGCTCGCAGGATGGCGTTCTGTACAATCTGCTTGCTGGCATGCTGAAGCTTCACCTCCTCTGGCTCAGTCCCAGGCTTCTCACCTAGGCAAAGGCATGAAAAGGAAGAGAGAAGTCCATTTCAGGAGCTGTGTCTCTGGAGGGGTAGGGGAAGCCCTCATAACAGAAGCTGCTATTGAGCCACTCCATTGATTTGCCCTGCACTGAACCCTAGTTAATGTTCTCGCCATCCTAGAATGTCCAACTGCTAGAGGTGGTCACAGGACAGCCCTGGGTATTGAAGTCCTCTGAGAAGTCTGTTAGGAAGGGACATAGGCACACCTCAAGTGTTCATCCCTAAGGACACGTGCATGAGAACACTAAATGGACTAAGTAGGAGATATACATCATATATATCATACATGCAGCACATGATTCTATATATATTACATATAATCAAAGGCAAAGGGGCCATGAAGTCAAGAGTGAGGGTAGAGGGACATGAGAGGAATGGAAGGGAACGGGAGGAATGAATATGATGTGTAGCACGATTATTAAAAACCTAAGGCAGATATTGGGGCTCAACCTGAAGGTCAGAAAACCGAAACAGTCAGCCACTGGCCCTTACCTTGACCCCAATCCAAAATGGCTATCTACCTCCAGGAATCTCAGAATGAGACTGTGAGTAAGAGCTGTCTCCTCCCATTTTATATTCCTCTCTAGGGCTGGGATTAAAAGTGTGCACCATTACCACTCGGTTTCTATGGCAACTAGTGTGGCAACTGGGATTAAATGTGTGTGTCACCCCTGCCTGGTCTGTAAGGCTGGCCAGGGTAGCTGTTTTGCTCTCTGATCTTCAGGCAAGCTTTATTTATTAAAATACAATGAAGTATCACTACGATGATGTAAATAACACAGTCATATAAGAAATTTTCAAGAAAATAATTAAAAAAGAAGAAAGAGACAACAAGGGACTGCTAGTAGAAGAATGTTATTATTGTTGTTGCTGTTTCTTTTATTTTATTTATTTATTTATTTATTTATTGGTTTTTTCGAGACAGGGTTTCTCTGTAGCTTTTGGAGCCTGTCCTGGAACTAGCTCTTGTAGACCAGGCTGGCCTCGAACTCTCAGAGATCCGCCTGCCTCTGCCTCCCGAGTGCTGGGATTAAAGGCGTGCGCCACCACCGCCCGGCTTCTTTTATTTATTTTTTTTTTGAGAGTTTAATATAGTTACAGCATTTTCCCTTTTCCCATTCTTCCCTCCAAAATCTCCCATATATCCCTCCTTTCTGTTCAAAGTCAGGGCCTCTTCATTGAGTGTTGTCATATACATATATGTGTATATGTATATATTCCTAAACATACCCCACTCAGTCTATTTCATGTCACTGATATGTCTGTGTTTCTGGTCTGATAAAAAAAAAATCAGAAACTACACCCAGAAAATTTCAACAACATTGCTGCCTAAACACGGGCTGAATTCAAGGGCAACAGCAATAGACACACTAAGGTGGATGAGAGAAAGCCCCTGAGGCCTCACCCCTACACAAAGCACTCCAGGCAACTAAGGAATGCTGAGTGCAGTAGAAACAGTCTCCCCAGAGAAGAGCACACCAACTGCTATCCAATAGCGAATGGTCAGCCTAGGAAAATTAGGGCCTCATTCCAAACCTCCTACCCCACACAGCCATGCAGTCTTGTGCAAGACCCTTAACCTTTTGACATTCACTTGCACACCCATTACAGAAGATTGCCATGGGGCAAAGTGATGTAACATCTATTCAGAACTCTGAGCAGATTCTGGTACCAGGTAAGCGTCTAGGGAAAGACTGTCACGGTGTATTAGTGAGGGGGCAGACTACATTGTGGGAACAGAGAGACGGAAGCATGAGACTGCTCCAAGGACGAGGAGACTTATACTCTCCCCTGTAGCACTGCAGATAGACTCCAGTGTGTCTGGTTTGTGGCCCTGGGTTATCTGGGGACTTTTCTTCCTCCTGTGTCATTATCCCGATGTTCGATACAATATGACCTTCACCTGCATAAGGGAAAAAGCACCATCCCAGCTGGAGTTGGAAGGAAACAAAAGATAGTTTCCTTTTGAAGACTTGTTAAAGAAGCCAGGCGTAGTGGTGCACACTAGTAATCCTTCACGTGGAGGTAAAGGCAAGAGGGTCAGGAGTTCAAGGTTGTCCTCAGCAGTGAAGTGAATCTTAAATGAGAAAGAGCACCATCTACGTTGAGCACTGACCTAATATTTAAGCTAAGTTATCCATTCTTCACTCCGCCATTACAAATATAAATGGATTAATAAGTCAAAGTTGGTGTACGCCATAGTCTATGGGGCCCCTCAATAGCCAGGCTGGCGTAGCTGATGCCCTCTGTGAACTAATCTCTCATTGTCCTCATGACCTTTTTGTCTTGGGTCATGAATATTCACTTGCAGAGGAGATGAAGAACAAAGTCACTTGTAAGGAAGGCACAAAGGAAGAGAAGCGACCAAAAGCACTTAAGAGACCACTGAAGAAAAAGAAACGTGCGTACTTATGCATCCAGCATTTGGGTGCAGCCCCTGCCTCTCTCCTAGGCTATAAAGAAAGGGACAGGGCAGTGACTGTAGGGACATGAGTCCCATAGACAACTTCTAGCCTCAGCCATTGCATTATCTGGGTTATCCTTTGCCAAGACAGAGTCAGCTCTCATCCGTGGCTACCAGCCGACAACCTCTCCTGTTCTTCTATGCTCTCCCCAGTTCCATGGTGCTCACTCAAGTCTCTGCTTCTCTGTAACTTGTCTTGTTTCCTGATTTTACAGGCTTCTCAGTGGCATCCTGTATCATGAGTTCTAAGAGGTCTTAATAATGAGCCCAGAGTCAGATATAGGGAAGATGCTGAGAGATCAGAGAGACAGAAGAGCAAAACCACAGCCGCCTTACCTACTCAGCTTCCCAGCCAAAAAGAGAGTGAGTTCCTGTCTCCTCCTACCCTATCACTCCCTCTCTCTGCCCAGCCATATCACTTCCTGTCTATAAAGGTTGTTCTGATTCTTTAAGAGACAAGCCACATCCACTCCCTCCCCCATCTGATGAGACAGGCTGATCTTCAGCTTCCAGCCTGAGTTCTCTCTCTTTTCCAGCTCTCTCTTGGAGAGGCAAATTACATCTCTCCCTTCTTACCTCTCTCTCTCTCTCTCTCTCTCTTTCTCTCTCTCTTTCTCTCTCTCTCCTCTTCTCCCCTTCTCCCCTCCCTTCCATACCACTAAATAAATATCCAATCTCACTCTGCATGGTGTGCCTATCCGTCTGTCTCTCGCCGGCCAGCCACCATATGGCTCGCTGCTGCCGGGGAACAGCCACCTTCAGCGACCTGCCACGTGGTCTCGTGCACCATTCCTGCCTGGGACTGGCAGCTTTCGGGATCCCGCAGCAAGCAACTTGGGGATCTGCAGCATTTTTAATTTTTTAATTACACTGTCTGTCTGTATAGACCTCCAGGTCTGCTTCTATGTTTAGCTAGTGGCTAACTGCCCTCTGATCTTCAGGCAACCTTTATTTGTACAAACAAGATATCACCACAGTATCCCAGCTACCTGGCCCTTATATCTTAAGCTGAAATTTTCAGGAGGGAGTGTTAGACCTAGCGCATCACCACCAACCTTAGAAAGGCAGGGTCAATTGTTATAACTAATCCTCTGTCTGTCACTTTTTCTGATCCATTCATCTGTAGGAGGTCAAACCTACAGGTAAAAAAACAGCTCCTTGAAAGAAGAAAAATCATTTGGGCCCTTGAAATGTAGGCAGAACATGTGTTCTTTGCCCAACATAGTACTGATGTCTAAGCCAAGAATTCATTTGCAGGAACACAGTGTTGGAGAAAATCCTAGTGGAGATGCAGTTTCTCCCGTGAGTATAGAGTGAAGATGTGTAGTAAAACCCGACAGAAGGCAGAGGCAGCCACAGAAATGCTTGGAGCCTTGCCACTTACTTACAGGCATTTAACTTGCTGCAAGGTAATGTTCACCTACGCATTTTAGGTGGCCCACTGCCTGGTTTTTAATGATGCAAATGTCCTCTAGACTAAGTGGCATTTTAAATACTATTTACCTGTTCCACAAAGATGACGAATTGATTTAATTAGCTCTGAAGTCAAAACGCCCAATGCAAAGTCAAGAATGTGATACAGTTCAATTGGTCTTCAGTGTCTTCCTGTGGAGAATTGTTAGTCCCTCCCCCTGCCTGAGCACCCAGAATGCCTTGCTTTCCAGGGTCCATCAGTCCTAATCTGTGGATGTCCAGCACTTCGGAAGTCAACATGAGCTCTGCTACTTCCTGTTATCCTTGCCAGAGCTTCCTCCTCAGTGCCTGTCTCACGCCCCTGGAGCTCAAATTCTAATTGGTCTTAATAAATAAAACCCGGAGTCAGATATTAGAGGACGAAAGCTGAAGGATCAGATAAGCAGAGAGGTCAGCCACTAGAGAGACCTTTTGCCTCTACCGATGCTCAGGGGACTGCATCTGTCTCTACCAAGCCTCAGACAGCAATGAGCTCTTGCCTCCTCCCGCCTTATCGTCCTCTCTTGCTCAGCCATATCACTCCTGTCTCCACCTCCCTGGTGCTGGGATTAAAGGAGTGGGATCCCAAGTGCTGGGAGCACCTTTGTCTGAATTCTGTTTCTCTTTTAGATAGATTCAATTTGGTGTGGCCCAGGGTGGCCTTGGACTAACAGAGATTCCTCTGCCTCTGTCTCCTGAGTCCTAGGACTTAAGGTGTATGCCACCACTCCCTGGCCTCTAGTGGCTGAGCTTTGCACTCTGATCTTCAGGCAAGCTTTATTTGTTAAAAACATAAACAAGGGCTGGAGAGATGGCTCAGAGGTTAAGAGCATTGCCTGCTCTTCCAAAGGTCCTGAGTTCAATTCCCAGCAACCACATGGTGGCTCACAACCATCTGGAATGAGGTCTGGTGCCCTCTTCTGGCCTGCAGACATACACACAGACAGAATATTGTATACATAATAAATAAATAAATATTTAAAAAAACATAAACAAAATATCACTACACTCACCCTGGTGGAAAGTGTCTAAAGAATTTAATTGACACCTGGC